ACCTGGGGATTAAACCCTTCCTTCTGTCCACTAACTCCTAACTGATGAAGGTTAAATAAATTGTCCTTTAGTAGGTTGTTCTTTGTACCTGGAAATAAATAGCTATTATACTGTGAGCAGGACAGTAAAGCCTTTATTAGGAACGTCTGCAGTACCTGGATGAGGGATGACAGTCTACCGATAACAGTACAGGGAGACTCCAGGAAACATTTTTTTCCTGAAAGCCTCCACTTATTCAGGGAGAAAGCGACGACTGTGCCCCACCAGTTTTCTCAGCCTTGTGCATCTCTAGTTTGAATTTTTATGTATCATTGTTTTCCAGGATACAAATGAAAGATTACTCTTTTATAGGAAGACGTAAGTAACCAGAGTAAGAAGATGTCAAGATATACAAGTGTCCTTCGAATAGGAGTTGAGTCTCCTGTTCTTTTCCGTGGAGTTGGTTTTATTTTTGCTGAAGTTGTAATTGCTAGTTACTGGTGACTGAGGAGATCAAATCAGTATACAGGCAGGAAATGACAGAATGTTTTTAAATATAAAATTAGTATGTAATTGTATACATGTGAAATGTCCAGATTTCACCAGCTTTTCCAGATTCATTGTTGCAAAACTGAAATGACTAATTATTATTTCTTAATTAAAATTATTAAGTTATAACTTACTTATTGCGCATGAAGGACAGGGAGGGAAAAAAACATCAAAAGATTACCCAAACCCTCGAAACATCTGTTAGACTGTAGAGTTTTATTGACTTAAAAAGAATTATAGGGGCTGGCCCTGTGGCCGAGTGGTTCAAGTTCTGCGTGCTCCGCTTTGGTGGCCCAGGTTCACAGGTTCAGATCCCAGACGCAGACCTACACCACTGGTCAGCCATGCTGTGGTGGCAACACACATACAAAATACAGGAAAATTGGCACAGATGTTAACTCAGGGCAAATCTTCCTCAGCAAAAAAAAAGAGAAGAATTATACTAATAAAAAACATTCTTTTTATGTCATTCTTTCTTAAGAACCCAGACATTCCATTTACTTTAGTGCTATATCTTTTCTTTGAAAGTTTATTTTTTCATCTCCAAACAATCTTAACTGGTTAATATTTTATTGCTACTAGCAGAGGATGAGTCTTATCAACTGTTTTTTTAATTTAGTTTTTGTTTTCATCAGCTCTACATGTGCAGAGTTTGTGCTGAAGAGTATAGTGTATAATTCTGCACACACGGCCAAGAGGAGCAGGGCGCTGTTTCCTTTGATGTGTACCTCAGTGCTTGTGTGCTCATGAGCATGACCCTGTGAAGGTTGTGGACACTGGAGCCATATGGAATATGCTCAGTACTTCTCCTTCCCAACATTTTGTTCTCCCTGGAGTTGATTGTCTGTGTGTGTGTGTTTGTTTTTTTGCTTAGGGAGAAGTACTTAGAAAACAGCTTCACCTGTGAGGTCTCCCTTGGTTGTCTGAAACTCCTCTCATTGCGTTCAGATGTCCCCGGCATCCCACTGGTTTCATATTTGGAGCTGTGGCTCTGCTCAGACCTGGACTCGAGGGTCTTCAGCCTGGTACACAACTCTAACTGGGGATGTCTCCTTTCATCCTCGCCTGGGGAGTTTCCTCCTCCCTGCTGGCTCTGATCCCCTCTTCTCTAGTCATCTTTTGTCATGGTTTAATCCTGGTTTTTAGTGGTTGCTCTAGTAGCTTCTTAGATAGGGTACCTGAGAGGGACAGTTTTTGAGACTTTCCATGTCTGGGAATGTCTTTATCTATGTCCCCTGACATGTGACTGAGAATCCAATTGCAGATTAGACGTCATTGTCCCTCAGGGATTTGAAAGCACTGCTGCTCCCCTGTCTTGCAGTGCTGCTTTTGAGAGGCACTAATCTGTTTTGATTCTGATCCTGTGCTGTGACCTGTTTTATAATCTCTAGAAGTTTTTAGGGTATTCTCTTCATGTCGCAAATGTTTGCCCATTTCTCAGAGACGTGCTTGGGTGTAGGTCCGTTTTCATCCATTGTGCTGAGACTCAGTTTACCCTTTTAGTCTGAAGGGAAGACTCACACCCATTAATTTGGGGGCCTTTCCTTAAATCATTCCTTTTGATTTCTTCTGCTCCGTTTTTCTCGTTTTGGAACTCTGCTGTCTGCATGTTGGACCTCAAGACTGTCCTTTGTTTTATTTTCTTCATCTGTATTCTTTCCCCTTTGATTTTTTTGATCTACTTTATGGAAGATTACCTCATCTTCCATCTCTTCAATTGAATTTTTCACTTCTGCTATCCTGTTTTTAATTTCAAAGAACTCTTGTTCTCTGACAATTCTTTTTTCATAGCATCCTATTCTTGGCTCTGCTTTCTTTCTCTTAGTTCACTGAGAATATTATGATAGTTTTTCAGTCATTAAACCAGCTTTCTTATCCATGCATGGTTTGTGCTTTCTCCAGACTGCATTGTTCTATGTGACTCCTTTGTCTTCGGCTTCATAGCTCCTCAGAGGTCCAGTGATTTGGCGGCCCCGGGCTGCCTGTTCCCTGTCGGGTGTGGCATGAGCAGTGGGCAGGGGCCTCTGGCTGGACTGATCCTGTGCAGAGTGTAGAAAAAGCTGCTCCGTTGCTCCAGAGTGTGATGCTGTGTGGACAAACACAAGTGTTGAGAACTGAGTTGAAAAGTGAGTCAGAGGAGTTAAGACTCTGAGTGTGAAGAAATCCTAAGTATATATCTATTTTGTTATATTTTGCTTTTTGTGTTTGCTTAAGATATGTTAAAATCTGTCCCCATAAAGCTAAGTAGCTCTTTGAGTAAGTATAAGTGATAGGAAGTAGTTGTGTAATTTGATTGGCAACGTTTTTTCTTGGTGGTGTATGTAAAATAATTGTACAAAAAATTTGTAGCTTACAATTGATGTCGTCTTGGATTTGACGGGATCCGTGTCTCTCTAGCATGTGGCATGACATGAGACTGTTCTCCCATGTCCATGCTCCTCCTGTCCCCTCCTCTTGTGCAGGGGCGGGGTGGGCAAAGGAGGCAGAGGGCGAGCCTGAGATAGACCTACGTCATATGCAGAGCCGGGGGCTGGCAGTTCGGCCTGTCAGCGAGCCTGCTGTCAGTGGAGGTTGAACTAGCAACTCCATTAGAAGTGAAAGAGAATCCCAGCAGGACAGACAGCCTGGGAGGGCGGCACCTGTCTACAGTACGTTTTCGTGGGGAAGCAGACTGTCTACTTCAACACCATGCCATGCTCCTGCTTGGGTGTTGGGTTTCATGTTTTAGTTGGGTTAGGATGCCCTCATGCAACGTGAATGTGGAAGGAAAGAGAGGAAAGATTCAAATCAGAAGCAGGTGTTTATCATGGTGCAGGAGTTGGAAAACAGAAGTTTTCCATGCATATTTACTTTGAAAAACACAAGATGTTAACAGTGCTTTGGGTCAAACATTCAATGACTAGGAAGTTTTCACCTTTAATCATAGGTGTTACTGGTGCTTTATGTGGATAGCAGCTCGCTCCCCGCCTCACACTTCTTTTTAATGTTGTTATAAGATTTGATTATTTCCAACAGAAAAACGGTTTTGGATTTTTATGTTAGTGTAGATAGGTTTTGGATGACCAGGCACGTTCATTCAGAGAATGCCAATGCTCGCCTTGTCAGTGCATTCTGTAGGTGATGGGAATGTAGAGAGAAAGAACAGGGGTCCGTTTCCTCAGTTAGGTTGTATTTATGGGTGCGTGATGAAACCAACACCTCACTAATTGTTATGTGGTGTGACAATTACTGAAATAGAAAGGGATTCGTGTGAACTTCAGTAGAGACGGCCAGCCCTTCCAGGCCCAGGGAGACATTAGCAAACATGGTGGGCCGTTTCTCAGAAGATGAGGGTGAGTGGGGAGCAGGAGTTTTGATATCTCCAAGCTCTGTTTGCTCAAAATCAGTATAAATACAGTGCTTTCTTTTTGGTAATAAAATACATTGGGTCATTTTATTTCCTGACTTGAAACTCTCCAGGCTTCTGGGTTTTAGGGGGAAGTTCCTGTTTCGTGGTTTAGCCCTTCTTGCTCTGGCCCCTGCCTCCCTCTCCTTTTACACCTTCCCGTCTGTCCCTCTCACTCCTTTAGCGGACTACTTACTTGCCCTTCCGAATTCAGTTCAGGTTTTCCTCAGTGCAGAAAAGCCCTCTGATATGCCTAAGCGCCGTCTCCCTCCTGACCTCGTGTTCCCTTAGCACCTTAGGCGGTGAACGTTGTGACGAGTGCTGGGAGAAAACTGAAGAAAAAGGACGGCACCCCAGGGAGCAGACGGTCTGTCTGGGGAGACTGCGAATTTTGAAGGAATTAAATAAAACTACCCCCTCTCATACGTGCAGGCAAGGAAGAACAGGTGTGCAGTCAGGTCTGGGCCTAGCAGGCATCGTGGAACTTCCTCCAGAAAGCCCTTTCTCATACTCTCCCTGGGTTCTTGCTGCTCGCTCTGATGGAAGATTTTCTCTGCTGTTCTGGTGCTGACGGCCCTGGCCTGGTGTCAGGGGTCTACTCCCATGCCGCCCCCCAGTTCTGTCAGCTTCCTGAGGGCAGGGACCTTGTCTCATTTTGTCAGTGTATCCACAGCACCCAACACAGAAGGAGCACTTACTGTTTGGATGAAGGGGCTGACTTCTGGTAACTTCTTGATTCCGTATTCACAGTCATGTGGACGACCTAAGAGGAGGATGTACACTGGCAGACACAAGCAGTCATAACTGTCAGTGACTTTCTAGAACTTTGAGGAGTAAGCCCTAGACTCCATGCTGGAGTAACTCAGTGAGATTTGAATAACTGCACAAACCAGTAGGGTAAGCTTTAATGGACTTGGGTTATGTGAATGTTCTTTCTATAACAGGTCAAGGGATGTGCAGATGCTCCATCCACAGGTGCACAGTACACTAGGGCTTGTTGTGCCAGCGAAGAACACCTGGACAAGTGTGTTGTGAATTAAGTATGTGGTGTCTGTTTTTAAGGTTTGTTTGTTTATTTGTTTTTAAGGTCTTGTGGTCTGATTCTTCAATAACATCAGTAACCAAATCTTCCTCTGAAGTGACTGAATTTATTTCAAAGGTAAGGTGATTAAGGGCTCTTATAAAAATTAAAAGGATCTCATTCCCCAGTGGTTGATAATACTGCAGATAATTTCAGTGGATTGCTCCTTTCAGTTAGCAGAATGAGTGCAGTGCTGGAACTCATGCCTTTCTACAGTGAAGTCCAAGGTCTGCTTCTGACAGGGTGCGTGGCCATAAACATATGGTCCTCCAGGCCAGGATCTCTGCTGCTTCCGGCTGTTGAGGAGGAGATGAGGCAGAAAGATACGACTGCACAGATGACTGAGGGAGTTTGGTTTGATTCTGTTACAGAGGCTGAGGGAGAGGGGCACACACAGGTGGCCTAGTGGTCAGAAACCTCACCTAGTTCCACCCTCATCTGTTTTACATAACTGGGTTTTCCAGTTCATCTTTAAATTGATTCAACAAATATCATTTGAACAAAACGTTCCACTAAATAAATACCTCTTTACCTATATATACACGTGTCCATACATACATACGTACGTGCCAACATGTTTAACACGTGGTTAGAGTCCACTGGCCTGGGCCCCAGCAGTGAACCACTGTCTTAGCCAAAGCAATGCCTCTTAATTGTCATCTTTGTGTTATGGAATAATATATCTGAAGTGTCTCCAGAGTGAGTCTTAGCTTTTCATTATAAAATCGAGAATATGATCCTGTAGGAGAAAATCCAGTTGATGGATCCTTTTCTGAAGCTTGGACAGGAATTCATTTGTGTCTGTCCTTTCGGCGTCTTGGGCATTGAAGAGCACCACCACAGTGCCATGCTTTGTAGGATTCCTCATCCTTCCCGGGATTCACAGTTTCCACTCTAACATTCAGCACACTGAATTTCCTCTCCTTTGTGCCTAGCCTTGTGTTTTGTAAAAAAGCAGTTTCTCTGGACTCTCCTGTTGCTGGCGGGAACTCTGACCTTGCATTGGTCTTTAGTCTGAGTGTTTACGGTGGCTAACACTAACCTGGCTTTCAGTTCTCTGACCTTCCTGGCTATCTGGTTTGCTGTTTTTCATTAATTTTGGAAAATTCTTGTCTGTTTTCTCTTCAAATATTTCTTCTGCCCCAACCCTCTCTCTCTCCTCCTGGGGCTTCAGGTACCGTGTCCTCGGACCTGTGACATTGTCCACAGCTCTTGGATGCTCATTTTGTTTTCTTCCTCCTTCACTCTGCGTTTCAGTTTGGATAATTTCTGTTTTCACGTTTCTTGATGTTTCTTCTCAGCTCTGCCCGGGCTGCTGATGAGCCTTTTGAATTTGCTGAATTCTTCATCTCTGGTACCATGGTTGTTTGTTTTTCTCAGCTGTTCCATTTAACGTGTCTTTTAATAAAGTTTCCATCTCTGCTGAAATTTCCTGTTTGTTCATGCACGTTGTCCTTGTTTGTTTGTTTGCTTTTTGTTTTACCAAATCCTTTAGTATGTTGATCTGGGTTATTTTAAAGTCCCTGTCTGTGAGTCCAACATCTGAGTTATTTCTGAGGCTGATTCTGATGATTATCTTGACAATAGTTTTTTATTCCCCCTACTTTTTTGTGTGTGTCTTGCAATTTTTGATTGAATGTTAGACCTTGCGTTTTGAAAATACAGAGACTGAGGGAGCAGGATGTGTGCCTGGAACTGGGTGTGCTACTGCTCCTGTCGGACCATGAGGGGGTCCTTGAGTTGATCTGGTCAGGAGTTGAGCTGGGTTTGGGTTTGTTGTTGCCTGGGTTACCTTCACACAGGCTTCAGATCCCTCCAGTGGAGGGCTGCTGGGAGCTTGAGCCTCCAGTGGGGCCCAGACTGTCGGAGGGTTCTTCTCAGTGGTCCTGCTTCACCCCCAGCTGTCAGCAGTCCTCGTGTGCCCGTGGCACGGAGGGGGTCTCCCTACTCTGTTGACCCCTCATGCCCCGGCGTAGACGGCTGTTACTTGTTGCCTGGGGATAGACTTGTGGTGGGAGTGAGGGGGGTTCTCTGTCCTCCTGGTCCAGCCTCAGTGCCAGGCACAGGGCCTTTGGGAGGGTCTTTGTCAGCATCCCTGCCCCTTCCTTCCCCAGCAGCCGGATCCTTGGCCCAGGACGGCTTCTTGCCCCTTCTTCAGGGCCAGAGACGTTTTGCTTTTGCCTCCTCTAGAAGCAGAGCATCTTTGCCCACGGCCTGGTACCAGGAGGCCCTCCTACACCTCCCCCAGAGGCGGGAAAGTATTGCTTCTGCCTCATCCCCAGAAACTTGAGGTCTTTGCTTGGGCTCTGGGAGCAGGAGCAATCTTGTCCCTCTCCCAGCAGTTTAAAGGCTTTTGCCTTGGATTAAGAGAAGTCTCCAGGGAAAGGCACAGGGTTTCCTGCCTGGCCCCGAGGGGCGGTGACCCACACCTGTGCCGCCTGTGGAGGGTCTCTCCAGTCTCCTGCCTGTGGAAGAGAGCTGGGGAATGAGGCACACTCCCCTTGTGTCTGGGCCTCCTGGGTGACTGATGTCTGGCCCACATCCAGCCCATGGGGATGTCCCCAACTTAGTCCATCTCCTCTGTCTGATTGGGTGGCGGCCACCTCTTCCTCATGCTCTGCCACAGCTGAGACAGTTCCTGTGTCCTGTCTCTCCTCAGAGGGGCAGGTCCCTCTTGAAATTCAGTTCACATGGTGGCCTGGCAGCTCAGCTCTCTGATGGGCTCAAGGAAAGGTACGATTGTGTAGATGAGTAAGCTTTTTCTTGATGTTATGGTGGGAGTGTGATCTTCTTTTCTGGCTTTCTATATCCTAAGTGGATGTAGAACCCCAAACAGCTAAGAGAATGGTGTATTGTATCAGACCAGCAGATGTCACCATCTAGCACCTGCCCGGGGTTTTCGTAAATGGAGGAGTAAATGCTACTGTGAAGTGGATTTGACACGCTCCCTGTGCTGCTTCTTTTCTTCCAGCTGTCTCAGCTGTACCCGGAAGAAAATTTGGAGAAATTCATTCCTTGCTTAGCTGGCCCAGATTCGTTTTATGTAGAGCGAAACCACATGGATCTGGAAGCGGACCTGAGGTAATGTTCTTCACTCCACCCAAGGGCTGTGGGGGAGCAGCCCTGCTGCTGGCCCTGCAGTGACCACTGCCCGTCTGTGGTGTGGGCAGGGCAGGGCTGGACATGAGCTGCCTGGTCATCCAAGGAGCTCTTGAGGTACCATGCTGCCCTGGATGGTTCAGGCCTCTACTTTGCTTCTAGGGCTTCTCATCATTATGAAGGATTTGAAGGATCTTAATAACCTCGGTGTGACTTTGAGGATCTGAGTAAAGAAATTTCAGAGCATATGCCACCATTTTGGGCAGTCTTATGAAATAAAATCTGATGAATGTTTCTGACGTATAGTTGAAAGTTGAGGCTATTCCAGGATAAAACAAGGGCCTAATAAAAAGTCTCTTCGGCCCTTGTCCTTGCACCCTCAGCCACATCCTGGCATACTGGTTCTGTAAAGGTGCGAGCAGGGGCAGGCCTGCCACCTGGGCTCTGGGACTGCACACGGACGGACATCTTAGCACCTGAGACTTAGTTGCAGCGCAGAGGCTGCAAGTCCTGGATGATTGTGAGGGCACTGACTGTGTTCACGTACAGCTCACTGCCCATTTGGTGGGCCCAGAAAGTCTTGATTCATACAGTGTCCATGAAGAAAGAGATGTGGGAAACAGTATGGATCCCGACAAGAATTAGATGGAATCAGAGCAGGAAGAACACAGGTTAAGGTCTTTTCTGTTTAATTTTTCCTCTAATATATATTTCTCTTAATTGAAAATAACAGTTTCTCTCCCAATTAGTTTTTGGTAATACCATTTTGATGTTGATAAAACTACTTTGTTTAATTTTTAGGTATTTGGCTTCATTACCTTCTCACATATTAAAAAATGACCATGTTAAGAAATTTTTCAGCACTTCATCTCCCACCCAACAGCTTCAAAGTCCAAGTGAGTTTGTAAAATGTGATTAAATAAAAATAAAAACATTTTTATTGTCTGTACGTTTTATAATATCTATTTTCCCTTACAGGTCCTGGCAACCCTGCCCTTTCTAAAGTCGGTACCATGATGGGTGTGTCTGGAAGGTGAGACATTACCATGTGACCAGCACGGTTCAGATCAGCACTGTGCACAGGTTACTTCTAACTGTGTGTAAATAACTGTTTCTAGAGATCAGTCATTCTCCATCTTAGTCTTGAATAATACTGAGAGAGGAATTAGATAGAGATAATCCAATTTATGATGTCTCCCAAAAAAAGTGGTTCTCTGAGCCACTGGAATTGGAATTCCCAAGGACCCTTATTACAAATGCCAGTTTCTGGGCCTTGCACATTCCAGGTCACCAGAATTTCTGAGAATGTTCATTTTTACAAGCTCCTACCACAAGGTGCCAGAGTTGCTGCTCTGGGGGTCCTCTGTCAGTGTGAGACCCCTCAATGATTGTGATAGTGGTCAGGTGACAAACAGGCTACCTGTCTGGACTGACAGCCAACGTGAAAATGGGCTGACGTCACAGAGAGCACACACACACGGGTCAGATAATGAGGTCTTTGAAAGTGCTGGCTTGTTTCTGCACCTTCTGCCTGGTACGTTGTCAGCACGTAATAAATGTATGTGGGTTTGCAGTTTAGGGAGGAAGGGGCAAGGACAGAAGGTAGAATGCTTTTTGCTTCCTCCAGCTTTCAAGGATTTACTTTTCAAAAAAATTAATTAAAATATTAAAGATTTGAGAGTCAGTTCAGTATCATCCTATGATAGAAGTAACAGAAGGTAAGTAGGCAGCTCAGCCACAGGTCTGGTGGTGGTACACACACGTAGACACACATTTATGTATTTAGATAGATAGACACACTCGCAAGCACATCACACCAGTAGACACATGAACATACATGCACACACTGACATGTGTACGTTAACTTCAGGGTGATGTGGGGAGGGGCGGTAGCAGAAGAGGCTCTGTGTTAACAGTGGACGTGACCTCGGAGGCAGTCCAGGGTGTGGAAGCCGGCTCGGGCAGACCTCGAACAGTGATCTTGTGCAGAGGCTGTGATCCTTTGAAAACCAGCTGTCTGCTGTCCCCACAGACCTGTGTGTGGAGTGGCTGGCATCCCGTCCTCTCAGAGCAGCACCCAGCATCACATGCAGCACTCGGCCAGCGCAGCTGCCCTGCCCCACTGCTCCCACGCTGGGGGCACGGGCTCGGCGCTGGCCTACCGGACCCAGATGGACACCTCGCCTGCCATCTTAATGCCTTCCAGTCTGCAGACCCCTCAGACACAGGAGCAGAATGGGATTTTAGATTGGCTTAGGAAGCTCCGTTTGCACAAATACTACCCCGTCTTTAAACAGCTCACAATGGAGAAGGTATGTTGGTTACTAAGCAGGCAGTATAGAATTTGCTTGTTTTCTCAGGAAACCTGTCTGTCTTCTGACCTCGTTCCTCGAGGAATTGAGCTGGGTGTCTGAACTGTTTATGATGTGGGAATCACACTGCCTGGTATTTAACACCTCCAGATGCGTGCCCTGAGTCTTGCATGCTTGCTGGAGGCAGGCATTGGGTTTGACTTTGAAGGCTGCCTGCAGCCGAAGCAAAAACTGGAACCTGATTGGTTGTAAACAGCTTTTTTAGATAGTTTGGGGTCTTCACAAATTAGATCCTCTGTGTGATGTGAAGGAGATTATGTCTCCAGCAGCCCTGCAGTAGGTAGCAACAGTGACCTTTGGTGCCCAGGCCCCCCTTTCTTAGGTGTCTGTCAGTGCACCTGTGCACATGCTGACGCTCAGTTCAGGAAGGCCGGCTTTACAAGGGGCCCAAATACTTAGATCCGAGTAGGTGGCTCTCTAATGATCTGGCTTGATGTAGGGTCATATAGCTAAAGGAATAGGTGAATTTGACGTCTTCCATCATGAAAATGATGTCTTTCAGTTCTACATAAAAAATTTTTTTTATAATAGAGAGTTTTGATGAGGAGCATTTTTTCATTATTAAAAAAAACTCTGAAATTTCTTAAGTCTCGGTATCACTGATAAAACTAAATTAGACCTTACACGGTGTTTCAATTCTGAGCTCCCCCTGCTGGATAAAATGACCTGGTGGCTTTTATCTACATAAAAATTTCATTTGTCCAAAAATCTGCAATTGAACGTAGAAATCAAGCTTTTACTACATATTAAAAAACAAATTTTAAGTATATTTGTAATACTTTCGGTTTAGGATTCATAAATCTTAAAAACAACAGATTTGGGCCGGCCCCGTGGCTTAGCGGTTGGGTGCGCGCGCTCCGCTGCTGGCGGCCCGGGTTCGGATCCCGGGCGAGCACCGACGCACCGCTTCTCCGGCCATGCTGGGGCCGCGTCCCACATACAGCAACTAGAATGGATGTGCAACTACGACATACAACTATCTACCGGGGCTTTGGCTTTGGGGGAAAAATAAATAAATAAAATCTTTAAAAAAAAAAAAAAAAAAAAAAACAGATTTTACTAAACTTGGTCATGATCAGTTTAAAGTTTTAATCTACCGTCTTGAGTTGAGATGGCTGAAATCACCAATCACATTTGGACTGTCATGAGAACCAGGGTGTGGTTTGTCTGCTTAGTGTAAGGCGGGGGCGGCGTGGGGCCGGGGGGGCTGTTGAAACTGCAAGACATTTTCTTGAGTCACCTGCCCGAGTAGCACGGACCTCCCAGGTGCCCGTCCTCACCAGCCATGGCTCAGCTGCCGGTGCTGAAGGCGTGGTGCACACAGCCTGTGACCCTCAGACACAAAGTGAGCGCTCATATTTTGAACTGTGGACACCAAATCATTTAGCAAGTAAATGTTTTAGTGTTTCTAGGTCTTGTATTATCTAATTATCTGTTTACATATCCTAGAGGTAGAGTATGTTTATTAAACTCTTTGTTTTCAGAATCCTAATTCTCAGTAACTTTGTAACTTGTTTCTTCTATGGAAGTTTCTGAGCCTTACTGAAGAAGATTTAAATAAATTTGAATCCCTCACCATGGGAGCAAAGAAAAAACTGAAGACTCAGTTGGAGCTGGAGAAGTAAGTGTGAAATGGCTGTGAGACGTGTGTTCATTTTAGTTTCTAACGTGCTGGACAGATGCTGGGACTTACAGTTTTGTTAAATATCAGTGACTGGATTACTTTTGATTGCTTATCAAACCTTAATTAATGCTTTTAAAATTCTGCAGATGTGGCTTTGGTTGCTAGGAAAGGCCCTTTATAGTGAATCTGACAAGTCAGATGGGTTATTTTCCACCCTGGAGATTATTTTGATGGAAGTCACCTTTGTATAGAATATAACTTAAGCAGAATTTTGTGAAACATTAAAAGGTTCTTCAGGAGAAGAATTGAACACTCGTTTACCTGCTTTCTTATTGCACAGGGAGAAGTCAGAGAAACGGTGCCTGAACCCCTCAGCCCCAGCCCCGGTCACCAGCAGTGGAGTGGCCCGTGTCCCCCCCACGAGCCACGTGGGGCCCGTGCAGGCTATGCGAGGCAGCCACGCTGCAGGTGGGTGAGGGCCGGGTCGGCCTTGACACATGGCTCATGGTCTGTTCTTCTTGGTAGTAATTAGACTGTAGATCACACCCTTTTGCCACTTACATTTTTCAGTATTTACAGTTACATTTCGTTATTTTAGCTGTTATTGTCTCTACCATAGGAAAATGGAAGAGACATTTGGGTTAGAAGCTGGAGACTGGTGACTCACCTGAAGTAGTTTGGGCAAAAGAATTAGATCTAGAAACTAGAGTGGCTCGAGGGAAAGAGTAGGAAGTACACAGAATAGATCAAAATCTCTCTTCCTCAAGATGGCTGCTGAGAGGTCATGTTTAGGCTGTGACCTGGCAGGTCCATCTTGACTTCTCCTTCGTGCCTGACCACGAGCCTTCCTGCTCTCAGGGACCTGAAGCTTCAGTGATCTCATTTTTCAGCCACCATCCTCCTCCTCTCCCTGCCTTCTCCCTCTGCTCAGAAAAAGGTTGGGGACGCCTGTAACAGTTGCTTTGTTGTTGTCTTTATACGGTAGAAATATCACAAGTCACAGGAAACCAGGAAGAAAAAAATGCCAGTGTATCTTTGAAGTGGCTGTTTGACTAAAAAGGTCTTCTGTCCCTCGCCCTCGTAAAACAGGGTGTCCCCCCTTGTTTGTGGGTGAGGACTTCTCTTAGCACTGTGGTAGTTCAGGAACGCTTCTCTCTTGTTCCCAGCGTTTGAGTTAGCTCTGAGAGCACTGTTGTGTGGGCATCTGCTGCGTCCCTAGCTGTGTGGCCTCGGGCAGTTGAGCATTTCTTAGACTCTCCGAGCCCTGTCTGAATGTGGACGTAAAGTAGCTGCCTCCTTGGTTGGAGGTGGAGAAACGGGTGCCATAGACGTGCGTGGAGGTGAGCGAGGAGGGCGCAGCAGATGCTAGCTGGTGCAGCCCGTCGGCGGCCTGCAGTGCGTGGCTGTGGGTGCCACCTTCAGACTGTCACCTGTCCCTTCTCTGCAGCGCTGCGGGTGGAAGTGGAGCAGCCCCCTCACCAGACGGCCCGGGAAGGCAGCTCCTCAGAGTGCTCTAGCTCCTCCCCCAGCCCAATGGGGGTGCAGGCGCGGGAAGAGAGCTCGGACAGTGCCGAGGAGAACGACAGACGTAAGGGCGCTCAGCGTGGCTCGTGCTGTCCTGCCTCTGCCCTGGCCCGTGAAGCTGTGTTGACCGCTCTGTTTCCATCTCTAGGTGTGGAGATCCACTTGGAGGGCTCTGAGAAGGAGAAGCCTGTAATGCTCCTCAATCATTTCACTTCAAGTTCCGCCAGACCCACAGCCCAGGTTCTCCCTGTGCAGAATGAGGCAGGCTCCAACCCGTCAGGCCACCACCCACTGCCTCCACAGATGATGAGCGCAGCCTCGCACATCGCACCCATCCGAATGCTAAATTCTGTGCACAAATCGGAAAGGGGAGGCGCGGACATGAAGCTCCTCTCGTCCTCTATGCACTCGCTACTGTCTCTAGAAGAAAGGAGTAAAGTCTCCGGACCAAGAAGTGGCATCAAAGTGGACAAGAGCTTTGGCAACGCCATGATGGATGTGCTACCCGCGGCCGTCCCCCCACAGCCCATGCAGGTCCTCTCTGGACTTGCTGAGAGCAGTTCTGTGTCTCCCACCGTATCCTTTGGTCCCCGCGCCAAAGTTGTCCATGCGTCTGCACTGGACAGGGTAATGAAGCCGGCCCCGCAGCCGGCCCTGGTGGTGGAGACGAGCACGGCAGCTGCGGGGACGTCGAGCACCGTCTTCCACGTGGCACGGCCACCCATCAAACTTCTGGTGTCGTCATCCGTCCCTGCGGATTCTGCCATTTCTGGGCAGACTTCCTGTTCTAATAACGTGCAAATAAGTGTGCCCCCTGCAATAATAAACCCCCGGACTGCTCTGTACACAGCCAACACCAAAGCTGCCTTCTCTGCGATGAGCAGTGTGCCCGTGGGCCCCCTGCAGGGCAGCTTCTGTGCAAACAGCAACACTGCCTCTTCCAGTAGCCACCCTTCCACATCCTTTGCAAACATGGCCACTGTGCCCAGCTGCCCAGCCCCCAGCTCCAGCCCCGCACTCTCCTCGGTCCCTGAAAGCAGTTTCTACAGCAGCAGCAGCGGCGGCGGCTCCCCCGGCAACATTCCTGCTGCTGCTCAGAACCATCACCACCACCACCACCATCAGCAGCAGCCAGCGCCCCAGCAGCCCACGCCCGGCCCGCCGCCCGGCTGCGTCGTGTGCACGTCTTGCGGGTGCAGCGGGAGCTGCGGCTCGAGTGGCCTGACCGTCAGCTACGCCAACTACTTCCAGCACCCGTTCTCGGGGCCGTCCATGTTCCCCTTCCCCTTCCTGCCCTTCAGCCCCGTGTGCGGCAGCGGCTACGTGGGCACCCAGCAGTACGGCAGCGGCGCCTTCCCGGTCGTGCACTCGCCCTACAGCGGCAGCGTGCCGCCCGAGCCCGTCCTGGGCGGCCAGTCCACATTCGCCGTCCCACCCATGCAGAACTTCATGGCGGGGGCAGCGGGCGTGTACCAGGCCCAGGGGTTGGTGGGCAGTAGCAACGGTTCCAGTCACAAAAAGAGTGGGAATCTCTCATGTTACAACTGTGGGGCCACCGGTCACCGCGCTCAGGACTGCAAGCAGCCGTCCATGGACTTCAATCGGCAAGGTAAAGGCGGGCCGCGGCCAGCTGGGCTCCGGAGGCAGACTGGGCTACACTGGTTAGCAGTGCAGCGCTGCCTCCGCGGAGAGGTACATACCACAGTTTACTTCCTATGAAAATAATAGTAAACTTTCTTCTTTTTAAAGCAAAGAGTAATTTTTTGAATGCTCTTGGAAAAAGCGTGAAATTCTTGGTAGGCTCTGAAGCCCCCAAAAAGGTTACTTTGGTTCTAAGACCATCTGTATTCCTCATTCTAGAACGTGACTGGCTGGCTGTGGAGAGGGGCTGTCTGGCCCGATGGCTCCGTGGTCTGTTATTTCTTGCCATGTGACCGGGGGAGCAGTGTGGGTAATCGAACGCCACCCCCAGCGTTTAACCGAAAGCCTAGGGCGTGGCGCCTGAGTTGAGAGGCTCCAGGTGGCACTCGCTGTGCCCGCTTCTGTCCTCCCCTCCAGGGTGGCCGAGGCTGTCCTGTGTGAGTCGTGATGTCTTCACTCACTGTGCTGCTGTCTTCCTCCTCCCCTTTCTTACTTCACTCCCTCTTTCTGTCTCCTTTAGTCAAATTCAAGTGTATGTTGATGTGTTTATTATAACAGGTTTGTTCTTGCTGTTTGTTTTGGAAAGAAGATGAGACTGGGCATTGAGAGCGTTGGGCCCAGCTACTGACTAGTCACTGGGCAACCTTGGAAAGTTACGTGATCTCTGTAGACTTTCGAGGGTTGCTCTAGACCTGTCTGTGCGTCTTAGTCACCTGGAGAGCTTTAAAGACAACTTGGCCTCAGTAGGTCTGGTGGCAGGTGAGGGTGACTGTGGGCTGTGGCTACCCCTGTTGATACAGTGCTGCATCTCCCGAAGCAGCAAGCCCAGAGCCCGTGGTGATGGTCAGGCCTCCCTGCCCTTGTCCCTTGTCCCAGGGAAGGGTGCACGTTGGATGGCCCACCAGCTGTGTGCCATCTGAGTCCCAGAAAAAGAGCTCCAAAGAATAAAGCTCTCCAGTCCCTTTTACCCCTTGTCTGATTTGATCAAGTTGGACCATAGCGTCCAGTTGAGGAGTGGGAGAGGGGAGCTGGGAATGGTTAGAACAGGTGGTCTAGATTTCTAGCACCCGGGTCTTGAGCAGTGACTCTGGACGTAACTTTGGACAGATCGGTTGTTTGTGGTAATTCTACAGTGATTCCAATTTGATCTCTTTTTTCCCCTTTCTCTAGGTACTTTTAGGTTGAAATATGCCCCTCCAGCAGAAAGTCTGGACTCCACAGATTGATATTTTTCTCTGGCAACAGAACACTATTAAGCCATGGAGACATAAGGAAAATTAAATACAAAACTGAGAAGTCTAGTTGCTGTTGAGCTTAATATTTTTAATCCAAAGGTGCTTTACTTTACTAGACTGGATAGAAAACCTAGTGTAGGAGTGCAACTGTTTTATTGCCAAAATCCTAGATTGGAGCTTGATGTCAGGACTTGCCGCGGTGGGTCTCTCCGCGGTGGGTCAAACTGGCCACCTCCACCCTTGGCTGCAGCGCAGAGACCTCCCGTCTCCTGAAGAGCATTGCCGTGATCAGTCCTTCTAGGCTCACGCGTAATTCCAGGGCAGCTACGCGAGAGCGGACTCGAGAACCGAAGGTGCGAGTTCTCCAGGTGGAGTGCCATCAGGCAGACTCTCAACACCCCTGGGTGAGGGAAAATGTAGCCTTTGTTTTGTTTTTTGTTTTGTTCCTGAAGTGGTTAGGCACTAATCTCTGGGCTTTTTAAGGATTGCACTAGCAAAGAATGTAACCTGACGTCAGTTTCTGCAGCTCGGGGAGAAAGACTCCCGAGCCCAGTCGGTGTAGGAGCTCAGAGAGGCTGTTTTTAGAGAGTTGGCACCAGCAGGCTACATGACTTAGAACACAGCAGAGATTTCAGTATTTCCTTCCCTCCTTAAAACACTTGTAGCAGTTTCAGGTTTTTAATTTTTTTCTGCAAATAAATTTAAACTACATTATTAAATAGAAATAGTTACTCGCAACAACTTAATTTCCAAGGGTCCAAGTCCCAGAGAATCCCTAGTTGTCAGAGCTTTGAGAATACCTTCCTTCCCAGCCCTTCAGTAGCTTTGCGTCCTGTCGTCTTCTACCACGAAGTAATCTTGCAGAGACAGGGTGACAGCGTGGCCTTTGTGAGTGGGCTCTGACGGATGCTGCACATCCTTAGCACAGTTTGCAAGTTCTTTTATCTCACACGGACTCCCCAAGGACCCCAAGGCTTCCTGCTAACGGATCCACACTTGAGACAGACATTTCAACAATAATACAGCCCTATAATTTGTGAGCAAAAGATTTGAGATTTTCTCCTGTCAGCTTCTTTTGCATTAGGCTGTGTATTGATAGTTCCATTAAAAATTACCTGGACAACAACAATAGAAAGTGGTAAGACTCTGAAAGAGACCACACCAACAGGACAGAGCTACAGATCTGCAGAAGTCTAGTCTGTCAAGGTGGGAAATACAGTCCTCACTACGCCGCTCTCAGCTTCACCTCGTTGCGAAGAGAGCGTTTTGGTCTGAAATTTAGGAACTTAAATCTTCAAGGCTAAAGGGAATTTTCTGCTCAAATAATAATAATAATTTAAATGCTAAAGGCTTCAATATTAAAATATTGATTGGTAAGGCCTTGCCCAGGGATTTTCCAGTTGAATATTTATTTAAAAAAAGAAAATCACAATATTCAGACCATTCTTAAAATGGGACAATCAGCCTCATGCAAAATTGGTGTGAATCAAAAACACTACCCTCAAATTGGAGGCACTGTGATGCGAGGCTTCACATTGTGAGATCAGTTTCCTGGCTTCACGGAAACTAAAGCAGAAAGTTGTTACATTTTTTTATGAAAGGCTTTTAGTAGAATTTCTTAGAGTTTTATTTTAGTAGAGTTTTATTTCTATGCAATGCAGAATTGACAGACCTCTGTATTCTCTCTTCCTGGTACACAGTATTACATACAGTTTTGAAGCAATGGTGATGCTTACAACAGCTTTTTTGGGGAATGTTATATCGATCTCTTAAATTATAAACACTACAAAATGTCAAAATAATGAGAACTGACACAACTTTGCCTTAAAGAGTACTAGACTGGAACTTGTCATATTATGTTAAAGGAAGGCTTAGAGTGTTCACTGATGTTTACGATTTTAATATTTCTGAAGGCCGTTACAGTGGCCTGGATATGTGCTGAAAGCCAAACTTTTAAATTTTTTGGTTTTTTAAACAAAGACATATTTTAAATAAATCCTATTTCAACACAGTGAAATTGTTGAAAACTGTCTCATAACAAAAGAAAAAAATCATTTAGGTTTTTTGTTTTAGTGGTCAGTATCGGGGATTGAAAGCATCTGTTGTTACCCTTATAAATATTTTGATAAATACTAGAGGTTAGCATTAAATACAACAAAAAATGAAAACAAAAACCTCGATTTGAAGTATGACATTCAAATTGAGTTATACAAGTTCAGACATCATGTGGCTGTGTTCCAGTCAACAAAGGTCTTAGAAAAATTCCCAGATGTCTTTGAAAGTGCGTGTGCGGTGTGATGTCTCCAAGGAGGCCCTTCCAAGTGGAGAAGTGTGAAAGGTGAATGTGAGACACACAGGACACACAGCATTCGGCTGCCGACCTGTGGGATCTCTTCCCAAGGGAGTCCTGTACTGGACTGGGTATATCTGCCAGCAGTATTCTCTGGGGAATTTCTCTCGAACAGTAACCAAAGTCAGTAAGCCTGAAGAGCATTTTGTGTTTCCTCAGAGGACATCCTCAGCAGTTGGAAACAGGTCAGACTGACCCTTTCAAAAGCTATTTAGTCATTTTCCTGAAATTGTGGGCTCAGTTTCCAAATGATGTGGCAACCAGGTAGGTGTGGCACCAGCCACTTTGCTTTGTGTAGTCTGTCATAAAGTTTCTAACCCAAGAATGGAGACAGTGGAATGTACAGATCGAAGTAGATTACAATGTTAAGATAAAACAACTATTTAATCTTTTGTATTTTAAGCAAAACACTCAATTTTCTACCTTATTTTCTAATTTTTATTTCACGGCAGTATTGAAAATTGGAAAGCGTTTAAACGTTAAAACTCCTAATTGCTAAAGAGCACTGAGGAAATGGGAGCTAGCACTTATAATGAAAATAAAGATAAAATCATTTTCTTGAAAGCAAATATGTGATTGGGTAATAAAAAAAACCAGCATCATCTATAATCTCCAAAAGATTACAGGAGTCAGCTTGTTAATATAGTAGTTAGTAGGTTCAGTATTTTAATTCACTGTTTAGAATTCTAGGTCCTTTATCGCAAGAAGTCAACATAGTTAGTTTACACTACACTGTACGGAGGCGCAGGAGCAGTGGGAGTAACTTCGCCTGACGGCATACAGCTGTGATGTGTTTCCTGTTTGGGCACAGGCTGACCGAGGCTCTCACTCGTCCACTCACTCCAGTGTTGCTGGTATGCACTTGCTGCGCGGGAATTGGGTTGCACCCTCCTCACTCCCTGTCATTTTGTCACTCTTCCTGCTTCCATGGTGGTTTATTTGATGCCTTGCTAGTTATACATACTGATAACTGATGGTGTTAGATGTAGACTCTTAAAGGTCATAAGGGAAACCATGTCCCTGCCTCAGCTGGACCGCCCATCCCAGAGGATGGGCCTGGAACCTGAGCGGGTTAGCCGTCCTTTCCAAAGTGCAGTTGACTCCCCAAGAATGAGTCAGGTGACATTTAAAGCCATGGGGTTCTGAAGAGGCTCAATTATTGAAAAGTCCTGAGGTTGTGAAAGTATTTTTAATCAACACTCACAAAACTACATACTGTGCTGGTTGAGGCCAAAGGTCAGCGTTACTATACTGTTGATGGAGGGAGGGGAGTGCCGTTCGTGGGTCCCGGGTATTGTACCAGCCCCTCATGTGCTGGGTTCTTACATGCACAAAGACAAGGCTTTGGTACCTAAACTGAAGACCTCGTGTACTCAAGAATCTTCACAGCTTCTATTGGACATACTTTCTTTTTAGGAATGAAGGAAAATTCTCCCATTTTTGAGCCATTCTTTTATGTCAATTCTACAAAATTGCATGTAACTTTATAAATATTTTTAAAAGATATAGTTTTGTAAATATTTAATATTCTGCTAATTTGATTTTGAATTGTAAATGTCAAGTATTCTGTTTTTGGGATTTTTATGTTTTATTATACTTTGTTAAAAGGAAAAATTGTACATTTTTAGAATGTTTTTATGAGTAAATTTAATGTACTGAAAATAAAAATTAAAAAAAAAAAAGCTGTGTTTCATTTTATTGGGTCTTGGTCTCATAGAAGATGAAGCACACATCTTTTCAAATAAATTGCAGTTCTTGCTCTCCAAACTAGGGCGTCAGTCCTTTCTGCCCTCTTCCCAGCTTTCCAAATGGGATACCTGGTCTTAGAAAATGGATTTATCAAGTTTCCCAGGTTTTTAAAAAATGTCCTTGCTGTGAACAGAAATGTGAATTCTTGACTTGATGTTTAATGATGTTTTATGGAGCTGTAGACTCCATAAAAAAATCAAGGTTGCCATTAATAGATCTCAAGTATCTTTGAGTGTTTCCTAATATGTGGTGAATGTGGTATGAACGTGCCCTTGCCTCTAAAGCTACCATCTGGCTCTGTGGATTTGCGACGGTGGCAGTCTACTGAGCATGTGCTCGCTGAGGACTGCGGTGTTCTCCTGAACAGGGCCAGGCACCAGAGGGAGGATTGTGGCACCTTTTCCCTAGCAGAGATCCCAAAGACCTCTGGGTCTTGTCAGGTCTGTGGTTACACAGAGGAAAAAAAACATGCATGCGTGCACACATAAGCACACAGTTCCAGGCATGGTTAGGGCTCCTGCCAGGTAAATGACAGCAGGAGACACAGCTGGCCCTTCCTGGCACCCGTTAGCAGCACCTCTGACAGGGAGAGCCTTGTTCTGTGTGGGGTCACTTCCAGGGCCTCTTGGTTGTCGAGGGAACCATGCAGGCCAGGCCTCTGAAGATGGGGGACATGTGCACATCTGAGCAGTGAACTCAGGGAAGCAGAGCATTTCCTTAGCTCATGTGTTTTTTTTTTTTCTTGGTGTGGAAGATTGGCTCTGAGCTAACATCTGTTGCCAATCCTCGTCTTTTTGCTTCAGGAAGATTGTCGCTGAGCTAACATCTGTGCCCATCTTCCTCTATTTTGTATGTGGGATGCCTCCACAGCATGGCTCAATGAGCAGTGCATAGGTCCACCCCTGGGATCCAAACCCACGAACCCTGAACCACTGAAGCAGAGCACACAAACTTAACCACTAAGCCACCAGCCAGCCCCTCATTCCCTGTATTCTTCCACAAACATTTAAGGGCCAACTTCAATTTGAGTTGGGTCCAGTGTTTTCCGACGAGTAACGCAGCTCCCCACTGGGTCCTCGTGTGAGGGCCCATAAACCACATAGTGCCTTCTTGACCACACACAATATTTTGTTTTACTTTGTTGTTCATTTAGAGTGGTAGGTTTTCAAGTGTTTATTCATTCCCACAAAACACCTAGCTCCCACATCCATCCTCATACTTGGTGGCATGTCTGTAAGTTCTCAAGGTTTTAGTTTTATACAGACAAGACTAGGTGGCAGGACCTTGACCAAGGGGAGGAAAGTGCCCGTGACAAGGCAGAGACCTGAGCTGCGTGTCTCTCCACCCAACTGCTCCCCCAGCACAACAAAAGCAGCCTCAACGCTCCGTGTTAGGAAGGAGATGACCTACTTGGCTTTGGATAGTACAGACAGTATGCAGGATTCCAAGTCTCAAACACTGATCCATTAAATTGAGCTTTGATGACAGTTTTTAGTTGTGCCTTTATTCACCTTAGTTCGTTAAAAATGTACTTGTTTTAAAGATCCTATAAATAGAGTGATCACCCACTAATGTGGGATGTAAGTCACCCCTCTCACCATGGTATTTTTGTTTTTTTAAAAAGCAGAATTTCTTAGGAATCTTACTGATCACAGTAGTTACAAGAATGTCAGATATAATGCTGTATACAATCTAAACGAGACAAGCTGATTAAGAATTTACATAATGTAAAAATATACATATTAAAAGTTGGCCATGTGGACAGATGCATGCAGTGGGAAGAGTAGTTGACGGGAGGTTGGGGGCTGAGGGCCCATATGCAGTAACATTGCTTTTCCCTCCATTACAGAAAACACCTTCACCAACAGATACAGGCATTCCACACATCTAAATACACAAGAGTGAGTCGTGACCTGCTACATTACAGTCTAAGCAGTCTGTGATACTCCCACGAAAATAGTAAACAGGAACCCCATGCAGGTAGTAGGAAGCATTGGGCATTTATTCTAGCTGGACTCGGGAAGTGTTTAACTCTGGACATGAGTATCTGGAAGAGCGTATGGCTGCTTCTGCTATGTTTTCTTCACAACTGACATGCACCTAGTGGGGAATTGTGATGGTTTGACCTAACAGTGATAACTGAAATACTCTTAAAAGTGTGGTAACTTTTGAATAACATAGTTTAATCACACACTTAACATAAAACATGGATCATCTACAGCTTTAAGCCAAAAGGTAGAGGAAGGGCATCTGAAGGTTAATGCTTTTAGTTTCAGTATTCTATAGTTTCTACCACTGTCCTAAAGCATGAAACTGACACAACTGCTTGTTTATTCACCCAAGCAGGCACTAGTACGAGCTAAAGAATAGCCAAAACAGAAGAAATGTCACTGTTCATCTCTGGGCCTTTTGAGAAACTAGACCAAAATTATAAATTATTCAGGGTTCCTACTGAGCCATGGTGCTTTTCTATGCACAACCATCTAAAGAGCAAATCAAAGAAGAACGTACTGACACTGCAAGAGTGTTGACGTGGGGTAGACTTATTAGGAATCAGGAACCTCAGCAGTTTAGAGTTTTCTCAGACACCCCCATTTACCCTGCTTTTTGCCAACTATTATGGCAAATGCGTTTTGTGGGGGCTATGCTTGACAACTTATGCTTAAAGATCCTCTTGCAGAGATTTCTCTAGTTGAGTAGAAACCCTTCTATAAAAAGTTGGCAGGTTCCGTGAACCTAGAGAGGAGACAATGTCTCTGAATGCTCAAATTGCAAGTTCCTATTGGGGAAAGAGCATTAAAATAACTTGAAGGTCTATTTTATTGGCAACTCAGAATGCAAAATATTTTATTTTTAAACTTATAAATTTGAAAACAAAACAGCCTAGGTTAAATAATAGTTTTCCAAAGCTGAATGTGCTCATTTGGAGCTCAGTTTTTCTGCTTGAAGTACAAAAACAACTTCCTAAAACTCCTAGGCAGGAACACTACTGTTTTGATGATCTGTGATTAGATGAACTCATCAATCTCAGTTGGTAACATCCCTTTGTTTTTCCTTGGTAAGGGTTTAAAAGATTCTGGAACAGACGCCTTTTTCCAGTCTTACACTGACAATTTCATCCCGAACGTCTCCTGAGAGGCGTACACCATATACAGGAAACCATCCTCATCCTTCTCACTTTCATACACTTCAGAAATCGGTGTGGACACACTCACCATGCTGTGTCCATTCACTAACAGGAAGAAGGCTTGATTAGCATTGAGCTGTAAGCGCCTTCTGTTGAAAGAAAAAAATGTGAAGAAATATTGATACATCAATAACTGGGGAGCATGTGTAAAAACACCACCCACCCTGATCAATATACAAGTATAAAGATTTTTGCTGCTTCGGGCAAAATAAAGTGTGTGCCTTACTGATGATGATTCTAATCTTTCTTCTCATAAAGAACAGGACATTTTATATGATGATATTCATGATCAGTATTAGTGATAATCCTTGACAGATTATTCTTACTATATTCCTGAAGCCAATTTTAAACTAGTATACTGTCTGAACAGCCATTAGTATCTAATGTGAGAAAAACAGTTCAAAATATAATTTACAAACTAAGATCTAAACTGGTGCAATTTATTACCCTTGCACCAAGTTACATTCTTTTACTAATTTTGCTATGCAAAACTTATAACTTTTCTGATTAAGAGACAACATCTACACTAGATGTTATGATGAAAGAATCAGAAGGGACATGAGATCCAACAGAAAAGAAATATAAAAACTCAGAAATGAAACATCTTATAGGTTTATTAAGCTTGTATAGATTTTAATCAGAACTAGGCTAAAGATTTATCTGTAAGTCTGATAAAGAAAAGAAGTTACCCAAAGAAATAAAAAACAAAAAGAGTGGTTAAATACCTAATTATCTTGATGAGTTCACTCATGTTGACATGATCAGGTACAAGGAACTTGGTTTTATCCAGGACAGGAAGCTGCTTCTCACCCTTGTATCGTTCTATTATCACCTAGAAAAGAAGCCAGAAAAGTGATTTCAAAATAGCTATCAACCTGGGGCCAGCCCAGTGGTGCAGTGGTTAAGTTCACGCACTCCACTTTGGCAGCCTGGGGTTCGCAGGTTCAGATCCCAGGCCCAGACCTACACAATGCTCGTCAAGCCATGCTGTGGCGGCATCCCACATACAAAATAGAGGAAGACTGGCACAGGTGTTAGCTCAGGGACAATCTTTCTCACCAAAAAAGAAAAAAAAAATAGCCATTAACCATCAGAGCCAGCCCTGATGGGCTAGTGGTTAAAGTTCAGTGCCCTCTGCTTGGGTGTCCCAGGTTCGGATCCTGAGCATGGAACCAAACCACCCGTCTGTCAGTAGTAGCCATGCTGTGGTGGTGGCTCACATAGAAGGACTTACAACTAGAACATACAACTATGTACTGGGGCTTTCGGGAGGGAAAAATAAAATAAGATGGGTGAATTAAAAAAAAAAAATAGCCATGGGCCAGCCCTGTGGCTTAGCGGTTAAGTGCAGGCGCTCTGCTGCTGGTGGCCTGGGTTCGGATCCCGGGCGCGCACCGACACACCACTTCTCCGGCCGTGCTGAGGCCGCGTCCCACATACAGCAACTAGAAGGATGTGCAGCTATGACATACAACTAACTAACTATCTACTGGGGCTTTGGGGGGAAAAAAATAAATAAATAAAATCTTTAAAAAAAAAAAATAGCCATTACAGAGAAAACTGTACTGTGGTTACCAGGGGCAGTGGGGGTAGGGGGTTGGCACAAAGGGTGAAGGGAGACACGTATATGGTGATGGACAAACAAAAATGTACAACCCAAAATTTCACAGTGTTATAAACTATTAAAACATCAATAAAAAAACAGCCATTAACAATGAAAAATAGATAAAATACTTCCTATGTTGTAACTGGCACATGCCAAAATGGTGTTTAAAATAGCACATTTGTTAGTTTCCTCATAGATCTCCTGTCAAGAGTAATCATTTATTAGCTTAGACGCTATCCCTTACAAAACAAGGTACATAACAGACAAAGTGGCTGCCTCCAGGGAAGTGAGCAGGGTGGCTGCAGGGTGGGGAAAGAAACTTCACTATGTATTCTTTCGTTATTTGGAACCATGAAAATATACTACCCAGTCAGAAACAGACCCCAAGCCTTAAAAGAGCAGAGAGGCTGGTACCAGGTTAACATGTAAAGATTTGAATCTGTCAATTCCAATACCACCATTTCCTGTGACATGGCAGGAGTCTTTTAATAAAAGTGTAAGGAAGATCTTAATTATGGTAATAGACTCGATATAGACTCGATGTTTTTTCATACTAGAGATGTGTTTCTCTACTTGACATGAAACAAATCCTAAGTAACTATTTGACAAGTAAAGCCCATGATTAGCTGGTTCCAGAGACAAATTTGGTGCTGAAAGAATTGAAGATTCATTTTGATAAAATATTCTTTTTTTTTTTTGGTGAGGAAGATCAGCCCTGAGCTAACATCCATGCCAATCCTCCTCTTTTTGCTGAGGAAGACTGGCCCTGGGCTAACATCCGTGCCCATCTTCCTCCACTTTATATGGGACACCGCAACAGCATGGCCTATCAAGTGGTGCATCAGTGCGCGCCCAGGATCCGAACCCGGGCCGCCAGCAGCAGAGTGCGCACACTTAACCGCTACGCCACGGGGCCGGCCCCTGATAAAATATTCTTGATATTTCTTTAATGAGTTTTAAAAGTCAAGAATCTTGAACTACGCAGGGAACAAAAATAGTTTCACATTATAAATTGAAATAATTAGCCCCTTGCCATACTTCCATTCCATAGAGGAAAAAGATGTTTCTTTTATCTAGTTCTAAGCCACTGTAAAAGCTCTGACCACAGACTGGTGACTGCCTCTGAGCCTCATTATCATCTATTTACTGAGTAGTGCAGACATCCCTCCCTCTCCACGTACAGCAACTCTCTACCCTGTCACAACAATGAGAAGTTGAGAGAGCAATGGAAAATCTTTACGTAATGTTTCTTTAGAAGAGGGAAAAACGCTTCTCTGTACATTGTTCTACTGTATGGGACCTACGTGAGGTTCTGTGTAAGTCTAAATCAAGCTGTGATCACCTTCCTTGGTAACATCAAGAGCTTTATCTACACGGCATGTTCAGAACATGATATCCACAAGGAAGTATCAGTGGGTACACTTGCCTTGGTTTAAGTGGTAGCAGAAATCAGAGGCAATACAGAAATCTTGGATTCTTGGCTCAGGAGGAGGCAGAAGTAGTCAGAGAATGAGAAGAAAAATTCAAGACCTTAGAATCCTTCCATTAAAGGAACACACAGCAGCCTAGGAAATGCTGGATAAGATGACCTTGGGCAACTTCTGCTCTCAGTTGCTGAGTCTGGTCTGCCTGGAGGGGAGCTGTTCTAGTTGCTCCTAACTCGCTATGTGGTGGTGATCTCCATGAAAACACAATCCCCTATAAATGACTGCTTTACTTTTTCAGTTCTTATTTTTTATTTTTCCTTTACTCTTCTAATTTAGGAGAGAAGATGTATAAGTAATGGGATAAGGCATTTGGCTAGATCGGAAAAGTGCCCTCTCAAATGTTTCACTTAGATCATAGGGTTATGGACAGGAGCTTAGAAGAAAAAGCCGCCTTTGGGGAATGGAGCCTGGAGGGCCCGCAAGCTGCCTATGCCTTCCTTCTCTGTCCATCCCTCCTATTCTCAACGAGTGCCTGTGAGTCTGGTTCTCAGATTCGTTCAGGATGTCACAAGCACGTATGTGGAAGTATGAGTATGTGATTTCTGCAAACAGCCTGAAACTTCTAGCAGAAAAGATGACCAGGAATGTAGGCAGATATTCACATTTCAAAAGGAGGCTATGCAACATATCCTGACAGACTGTTGGGCTGGCTTTTTGTTTCCAACCACTAGCATCTGCTAGCAAATAGACGTAGTAGGTACTCAAAAGTGAGGAAAAACCTTAAAGTTAAGGAAATTCCCCAGAAGGCTCACCCCCAGGCCTTATACTGATGAGGACAGATTGTGAAATTTCCAACCAGCTCAAGGAAAACAGAGAACATGTCTTTTACTGTAGAATCTTATAGTTATGAAACCGCTGAGCAGACCCATCTCATTCTCTTTTCTGTGCACCTTACAGCACAACCCCACGGTATCCGTCATCTTCATCTTCTTTCCCCTCACTTTGGTATGAGATGACCAATCACACAGCAAAACATGAAAGCTTCTATAGAATTTAGCAGTGGAGTTTCTAAGTGGTCTGTAGAATTAGTAGAAGGTAACAACCATGTACCCAGAATTATGCAAATCTCTCCAACAACCACATGGGATGGGATTCTCTTCCCATTTTGCAGATGAGGATCTGGCAGCTCCTCTCAGAATTTTAATAACTAGCCTAATATCAGTAACCTTGAACCTAGGGCCTGAACTCAGCCTCTGTCTGAAACCAAAAGCTCCTTTTGACCATTTCTCTCTAGACCTAGTGCCTCAGCAGAAGCCTATTTATGGTCCACCACCAAAGGATTTGGGGCACAGGGTGTTATTGGCTGGGCACAGCAACAGGCATCTGAGGCCCCTACACATAACAAAAAAGAGCAGCGTCTTTCCTCCATCTCTTGCAAAGAAGCCAAATATAAAGAGACTGCTCTGAGGCATCAAAAATCAGGCAGCCTGGAATATGCAGTCTCATTTAAATCCTGAGAACTACTGACTTTTCCACAGAGGTAGTTTTGCTTCCTTTAGAAGACGGTGCAGGGCTGGCCCCGTGGCTTAGCGGTTAAGTGCACGCGCTCCGCTGCTGGCGGCCCGGGTTTGGATCCCGGGCGTGCACCGATGCACCGCTTGTCCGGCCATGCTGAGGCCGCGTCCCACATGCAGCAACTAGAAGGATGTGCAACTGTGACGTACAACTATCTGCTGGGGCTTTGAGGGAAAAATAAATAAATAAATAAATAAATAAATAAATAAATAAATAAATAAATAAATAAATAAATAAATAAAAAGAAGATGGTGGATACTTCCTTCCATTGATAAAATACTAACAGTTCTAGCCCCTCTATCCCTTTCCCCCTCAATAAGTACATTTGATTTGTGAAGTGTGTAACATTAAGGCAGCAAACTTAGACACAGGAGTAAAGAGAGCATGATTACATTTAAAAAAAAAAAAAAAAAAACCTGTGGGTCAAGCTATCTCAATTCTACGTCACAAGATTGACACAGGGGTTGCCTGTCTGAGGATTCCCACAGAAAACTCCTGTCAGGTAGCTGCGCAGAGCAGCAGTGTGCTGAAGTTGCACCTTAAGCAGTGCTCTCTTCTGTGTGCATTATTAGTGACTGAAACATAGGTGCCTGGGACTACCTACCGGGATTTTGGTAGGATGCTGCTCTCGTATAAGTCGAACATCTTCTACTCTTTGTTCTGCAACAAAAGGAAGAGACATAGGCATTATTGAGGGCCAAAATGCAGCTTCTTTCCTGCATTTTTACTGGTGACTTCCATATCTGAATTCACCTATTCTTAGCTGTAGCAGAGCAAAGCAGTAAAGATATCTTTCCCAGAACTGAGAGAAACCAAACACCAACACCACTTTGTATCTGGCAAAGGCTGGTATGTGAGGCCAAAGGCAACTTACATGGAAACCAACATGAAATTACATGGCTCTATCAGGTAATATGACATAAGACCAGGAGTACAGAATTCCTCCTTCTGAAGGGTTTGGGAACCCAGGTTTATAGTCAGATATAATCAGCAGATTAACTGTGTGGCATTACCGATCTTTCCTCCAAAGACTCTTACCACCTTGGTGACAATGTTTGTGAATTTTCCACAGTTTAAGTTGATATAGAAATCCACTATAAACCATAGGCTCGTCAATCCCATTTTCTCTAATTACTTCCAGCTTTTTAATGATATAGTGCTTAAAAGAAAACTGCCAAGAGAAAGGAATATGGAAAAAATGCCCTGAGTTTTAAATAGTTATGCTCAGCGCCCAAAAGAAATTAAAGTTTAAAGCTCAAAGTCTATTGCTGAATACGTTTGTGAGAATATCTCTGTATTCTCCCCCTTAATAAAATCACTTATTTATACTTTCAACAACTGTACTAGGCTCTCTGGGGAATATAGGAAACAAACCAAGCCAAGTCCAGTTCTCAATAAGGTGACAATATAATTGGAGAGACATGTCATATATAAAGCAATATATGAACATATGATTAAGATGGCATTAATTAAAACCTTCCAATAAAAAATTAACAAAATCACCTTGATTTACTACAGTAGGATTCATTCTTCTACTGTTTGCAAATAAATGATCAGTCATGAACTTCCTGAGAAAGTGCTTATACTGGTAGCTCCAAGAAAAAAGATGCTATAACCTATATAAATATGAATTTATGCCAACATCATTGTCAATTTTGTTTGGATTTTTAAAACCATTTTAGCATCACTCTTCATAAAAACTCTTCACGTTCAAATACAAATATATAGGTTCTATTTCTATTTTCCCATCCAACATTTCTAAATCAGCTTCTAAGATAAATTACTAAACATATTTGCTAAAGACAAAGAAGACTGAAACTTATGGACTCCTACCAGTGCATATTCCTATTCAATACATGAGAATAAAAATAAATTTAAGGGCCGGCCCCGTGGCTTAGCGGTTAAGTGCGCCTGCTCTGCTGCTGGTGGCCCGGGTTCGGATCCCGGGCGCGCACCGATGAACCGCTTCTCCGGCCATGCTGAGGCCGCGTCCCACATACAGCAACTAGAAGAATGTGCAGCTATGACATACAACTATCTACTGGGGCTTTGGGGGGAAAATAAATAAATAAATAAAATCTTTAAAAAAAAAAAATAAATAAATTTAGCTATTGTCAATAGTAAACTTAACCTAGTGGTCCTCATCTGTGATATTGTTGTTTATAACAAGAAACATATATTTGGTCTGGCACAGAGCTCCCAAACCCTTGGAATTTCCTAAGTGATAAGAGTGATAAAGGTGTCTTTTGTATAAAAGAGTGATAAAGAAGCCCTGTTCAACCATACCAAAGTTTAGGTTAATGAGATGACTTTCAGAAAGCCCAAAACGATGGGGGCTGGTTGCCAGGGGAACCAACCATGATTAGGTTGGAGCTTTCAGCCCCACCCCTTAACTACCAGGAAAGGGAGATGAGCTGAGACTGAATTAATCACCAATGGCCAACAATTTAATCAGTCATGCCTAAGTGATGATGTCTCCATCAAGACCCAAAAGGACTGGGTTTGGAGAGTTTCCAGGTGCCAGGAAGAGTGGCACATACCAAACTCCACAGGGACAGAAGCACCTGTGCTCAGGACTCTTCCAGACCTCATCCTATGTCTCTCTTCATGGGGCTGTTCATTCACATCCTTTAATATCCTTTATAATAATCCAATAGTCTAGTAAGTAAAAGGTTTTCCTGAGTCCTGTGAGTCCCTGAGCGATTTAATCAAACACGAGGGGGTCGCAGGAACCTGATTTATAGCCAGTTGGACAGAAACACAGGTAACAACCTACACTTGCAATTAGCATTTTAAGTGGTGGTGGAGGAGGTACTGAGCACTTAACCTGTAGGATCTGAGGTTATCACCAGGTAGACAGTGTTAGAATTGAGTTAAACTGTAGGACACCCAGCTGAACTGCTTGATGCTCTAAGACCTGTCCCTATGTCTGTCCTATTCTGTAGAAAACGTGCTCTACCATCTAGACTGAGCTATCAACCCTCTTCACAACAAAAGCCTTCGTTTTGTCAGGGTAGATTATTTCAGAGGTTAGGGGAAACCACAATTTAATTAATTCACTCTAGCAAATGAATGATAACTCTTTAATATACCCTGGAATATGTTTCACATTTAAAGACTTATCCTAATAAATCTAAAAGGTAAGTGGAAACATTCAGACAGAAGGGGAAGAGATTTTTTTTTATACAAGGAAACAGGTTTATTTTGGTAAATGGAAAAGGAAAAAACTAAATAGGCTCTAAATGTGAGGCTTCAAAGTCAAACTATAGTGTCAAAAGTTTTCTATATCTTGATTTATCCCCAAAATATGGCCCAAAAATGAAGACAATGGTGATTATTTTTATTAAAGGTGAGAAAACTCAGGTACGAAGACAAGTGACTTCCTTAAGGTGAAAAGAGTAGCATCGAAGTCCCATAGGAATGTCTCTAGTGTCTTGGCCAGCTGCAATGAAAATGCAGTGGTAAGCCGGGAATAATTGAGTAAATATGGTATATGCTGATACCTCAACTCTTTTTGAGTAGACAGCTATTTTCAGAGGCTAACAGTATATTTAACAAAAGCATTACAAACAACTCAGAGCAAAGGCCCATATGACCAATTCTTTTACTCAATTATTTTCATAATACTGTAATGATCTGTTTATCATTTGTCTTCCTCAACAGACTGCCCCTGGCAGTCAGGGACCCAGCTCTAGTCATCTCTACATTCCCCAGGGCTTAGGCTTATACATAGAAGATGGTTAATAAACAAATGAAAGGGGCCGGCCTCATGTGTTAAGTGTGTTAAGTGTGGGTGCTCCGCCGCTGGCGGCCCGGGTTTGCATCCTGGGCACGCACCGACGCACCGCTTGTCCGGCCATGCTGAGGCCGTGTCCCACATACAGCAACTAGAAGGATGTGCAACCATGACGTACAACTATCTACTGGGGCTTTGCGGAAATAAATGAATAAACAAATGAAAGCTGTAAAGTGGAAATAAATACTGTTCCAAATGCCTATCAAGATATACTTCCCCAAATTCCTTTTCTTCCTGTCTCTAAGAATCCTTATAAGCCTTACAAACAGATAAAAACAGAGGACAGGGGTCTAAGGTGTCTTATTTTACCAACATATCATTTGCAAAGTTGCTTTGAGATTCCCTAGGGCATTTAAAGTAAAACTTTACTTACATATATTTTTCAGGATGTATTTCACTGAGCGAAATGGAAGCGTAATACATATTTTCCTCAATCTGTCTATAAATCATAAACGTAATACCCAATCCATCAATCAGTGACACAGCTTAAGTTCATGGAGTGCTACCTGCGTTTTGGCATAAATCTCACTCTCCAGTCTAGCTATTAGAATAGTTGGAGCTATTAATTCTAGACCAACACATAAACTTCCCCCAAGACATGCAAACCCTTTCGTTATTAGAGAGAAGCTTAAGACCTAAGTCTGCCATTAATCTCAGCAGAACAGTGTCTGGGAAACAGATCTGTTATTAAATAAACTGGGGCAACCCCAGAAAAAAAGGGAGTGAAATGATTACATTTGAGAAAACAGAATTCAAAATTACTTGCTCAAATACAGCTTTTGAAGTTCATAAGGTTTTTCAAAACATCTGCAAGGATACACTATGCTTCTTGACTCAGAGTGTTAGTCTACTTCATGTACTGGAAATGATGGCTACCTACTGGAAGATGGAAGAATTCATGGCAGACGGTTAAAAGTACAAGTCCAGACTCTGCCACTAGGTGGACCATGATGTTCACCTCTCTGGGCCCCACCCAGTTTCTTCAGCTACAAAAGCATGGGGTTGTTTTGGGTGAGCCCTAAGATCCATTTCAACCCTCAATCCTGGCAGAAGATATCAGCAGAGCTATCTTCAGTTTTAAATTAACCTCAACTCACTCACTTGAAAAGAGAAACAACTGCTCAAGCTAACTGGGGTTGGTCTTAGGGTCTATAGAGGTTCTCTCCAAAGAATCGATTTCCCTCATTTATTGTGCACAAATCTCTGAAAATTATCAGTGCTGACAGTCAAGACTACCATAATCAGGAGCAAAGAAAGGCAGTAGCCATTAAAAGATAATTTGATGCTTTTCTGCAAAATGACTATTTAAGAGATCTTTAAGGAAAAAGGGGGGGGGTAAAGGTGAGCTAAGGGAAAGTGTATATAAGATACATATATACAGTATATATAAGATAAATTAATGGGAAAAAAATGGAGCATATCTGCTAATTCACCCCCAGGAGCACAGGTTCCAGATGAATTCCTTCTAATTCATTAGGATGAATTAACCTCACTTATCCTATTCTTACCACCTCCTCTTCTACAGAGATTTTTCCAGAATAACCTAAAAATACTCTAAGCAAAAGGAAAGTAACTATAGTTTCAGTCATGAGAAAATGGGCATCCTTCCCACACAAATGTCCCCAGTTAACTTTCAAATGCCAGAGTCAGTGAGGACGGAAGCCAGACACAACAGCAAACCCGCTTCAAACGTTGCTCTCAGGGCTGCACAAAAGCTAAACAACATTTCGAGTTCACTAAGGTCACTAAAGAGAAAACCTCTAACAAGAAAGGCACGTCTCAGCCTTGGGAACCAACAAGCTGCCTCAGGAGCCTGTTTGGAAAAGAAATGCTTGGCGGGCCGAGGCGAATTTCACCGGCCGAAGCTTCTCAGGCACAAGAAATCAAATAACCAACAACAGTGAGATCTACAGACCCATATCCAAGCTCAAAAGAACGCTCAGCTCTTGCTAGACTCCAAGAAACCAGGCACACGTAGACGCGCAGGACAGCGCTTAAGATCCCCAAGGAGACGCCCGCAGGCAGTCCCCGGGGCTGGAGTCGCCGGGACCTGCGCGTCCCCGCTGCCCACGCACAGCCCGCCGGGGCCCGGGGCCGCAGGAGGCTCTCCCCGCCCGGGAGAGGGCCTGCCGCTCCTCTCGGCGGACGAGTCAATACCGTCGCCAGATCCCTGGCAGTGTCCCCCAAACGCCAGCGAGCCTCAGTGGGGTCTCCCGACTAACCCGGGAGAGGGGTGACCACCGCTGGGGCCCCGGAAAGCACGGAACCGCCGGCCACGGAGAAGACGCCCTCCCAGCCCGCCGGCCGCTCACAGGGCCGAGACGCCCCGCCGGCAGGCGCGGACTGCGGACTCGGGGGCTCGCCGGCGTCACCTCTGCCCGCAGACAAGCTCCTGCCCTACCTGAAGACGACCGCCTGCAACCCGGAGTCACCGCCTCGGAGGCGCGGCCGCGGCCGGCGCCGCGCTCTCACCGGACGGGGCTGCGCGCGGGGAGGGGCGGCGACCCGGGCTGGGGGCTGAGCAGCTCCGTGCAAACCTCCTCCCGCCGCCCGGGCCCAAAGGTGATTCAGCACCTCCGCGCCTGCGGCCCCGCGGGACCCACGGTGGGCGCCCCCGGCCCGGCCGTCCTGGGCCCCCGCCGCCTCGGCCCCCCGGCCCGGCCCCCCGTCAGCCCCCGGCCCGGCCGTCCTGGGCCCCCGCTGCCTCGGCCCCCCGGCCCGGCCCTCCGTCAGCCCCCGGCCCTCCCGCCGCCCTCAGCGCTCCCCGGAGCCCTTCAGCCTGGCCCTCCGTCAGCCACCGCCGCCTTTAGTCCCTCAGCCCCCCGGCCCAGCCGTCCGTCGGCCTCGGCCGCCCCGGCCCGCCCGGCACCCACCGAAGGTGCGGCGCTGCTTGAAGGTCTTCTCCGACGGCATGGCGCGGGAGGCTGGGCGCGGGCGGCGAGGCAGGGGGGTCCCGGCTGCTCCAGGCGGCGGCGGCTCCGACTGTGGCGACAGCGACTTCCCTTGTGTCTCCTCAGCCCGCAGCCGCGTCAGGTGACCGGCGCGGCGTCTGGGGAGGCGGGGCCAAGGCCGGCTGTCGCCACCGCCATGGCGGGCGTGGCGGAAGAGGGAAGTGCGCAGCGCCAGGGGCGGGGCCGGTGCGCGTGCGCAGAGAGGAGTGCGCCGTGCGCATGCGCGCTGGCTGGTCCGGGTTCCCGAGGTGACGGCCCGGGTGTGCACGATGTGCCGGGTCAGCCGGCTCCGGGAGGGAGCCACGGGACCGGTCCACAGTCCCCGGGCACGCGTGGGTGCGCCTCCGGGCTCAATTCCGGGCGGGCGGCGGCGAACCCCAGGCGCGCCCCCGGGTCCCGGGCGCTCACACCCTGTTGGGCGGACTGGGACGCGGGCCCACTGGGTACCGTGCCGAGCGGCGCAGCCGCCTGTTCTTAGCCTCGCATAGGTGCCCGGCGCCAGGTGCTGATGGCCAATAATGTTTCTACCCGAAAATAAAGTAGTCTTGTGCTCCCGCGCCGTGAGGACCCCCGAGTTAGGGGCTGTGGTTATTTCTCAGGTGTTCGCTTTTTGTCTTTTCGTTTTCATTGGCTTTCCAGATCAAGCACATCTCAGTTTTCTTTTTTTCTTTTTAGGAAACTGTCCACTGATAACTTATTTCTCAGGTCCGAACTAAGAAAAGAACCTAGACTGAGTTATGTCTGATTGTGTTTAATAGACGCTAACCTTGGAGAAGGTCAAAGGATCATTGTTCGTGTCTCAAAGCCTCTCACATTGGGCAAAGTCTTCTGACACGATGCTGGAGCCGTAGGTGACTTCCGGATGGTTTATGTGTTGTCGCCTCAGCCGTTACCCATTGCCTGCCCGATGTCATTAGTCTGCTGTTTTCATTTAAGGAGTGTTTTCCGGTCTCGCAAATACGGAATTTTATTCGTATCCATACCCCTCAGTCTTTCAACCACTAACCAGCTGAGCAACCTTGAATAAGTAACCATTTTTCTGAGTCTCAGACTCATTTGTAAAAGGGCATTTTAGAACTCCAGGTGTTTTGTAAGGAGCAAGTGAAAGTGGCCTGTAGAATGGAGATCACCACACAGCGTTTAGTTACCAGTTCAGGTATTGCTCACCTCCAAGTCTGATGCACACGTGTCTGTATTAATAGTACTTGACTCTTTGGCTGTTTTTGTCCTTTCATAGCTTTTTTTGTGTGTGTGAGGAAGATCAGCCCTGAACTAACATCCATGCCAATCCTCCTCTTTTTGCTGAGGAAGGCTGGCCCTGAGCTAACATCCGTGCCCATCTTCCTCCACTTTATTTGGGATGCCGCCCAGCCTGGCCTGACAAGCAGTGCGTGAGTGTGCCTCCCTGGCCGCCAGCAGCGGAGCACGCGCAGTTAACCTATCCTCCAGGGGGCCGGCCCAGTGCTTTCACAGCTAATTTTTTGAACGATCCCCATACTTTCAGACTTTTTCTCCTTTTGAGTTTGTAAAAGCCTGTCTTATATGTTTGTTTGATAAAGTAATTGGATTGTGCTAATATACATTATTATACAAACATACAAAACATACCAACATATACTTCTCAACGTGAGTTTAATACAGCTGGGACTTCTTTCTTTATAGAGAGGCCAGTATGTCTAGATCCTTGTATAATTATTCCTCACCACCAGAACAATGATGTTAGTTGTAGCTCTTTATTCTGCCACTCTTTGCAAAAGAACAGTGTGTTTGTGTGTGTGTCACTTTCTATCCCAGGGTTTTTTCCCTCTTTCTGTCACAGTTCTTTACCATAAAAATCTCTGATAGTAAATAGTGAATAAAGAAGAGCACCTAAACATTCTGTCTGCTTTTCAAAAGTTCCCAAAGAAGGTTTTAAGTTCCAAGTGTACCATCTTGGTTGTTTTGTATTTATTCTGTGAAGATTGAAAAAAAAAAAAAATCCAGTAAGTGCTTATTATGTACCTCCCTTCTGCCAAACATAAAATGATCAGTTTTGAAGTCTTAAAAGGGAGTGTGGACTGTGTGTTGCTTTCTTTTCTGGATTTTTCCATTAGTAAGTACTGACTGGTGAGTGCTTTCTTGGCTTAATTGCAACTTTGTGAGAAATGGACTTTTCGTCCTCTTGCTGGACAACTGTTCCAAATGCTGGAAGAGGGAAAAAATCGATATCTGGCATATGGAGGTGGGGGGAGGGGAAGAAGAGTTTCATATTTTCCTAGTCCCTTAGGCATCCGTAAAGCTTTACCAAATTACCCCAGGCCTTGGGTTCACTGCCTTAGGGATTAGCCTTAAGGGCTGTGCATCCCCTGTGATGGGACAGGATTACTCTGTGATTTTCAAGTACTGAAATCCACATTTGCAGTGGCTGTTATAGTTCTACCCCTAACCTTGATTCCTACTTGAATCTAAAACCACATACATATCCCTACATGTTTCTCAGAAAATCATCCAAAGCAGTTGGCGTGTAAAGATGTCTCATAAGCATAGTCTCCAAGTAGGAATAGCATATTCAAATAAGTAATATATAAATTATATTTAAAAATTATTAATTTATATTCATATACAAATAAATTAACAAGCAACTTCATATAACTTTTGTAAACAAGTGTGCTTGAGTGTGTGTGAAACATTTCATGTGCCCCCAGATTGCAGTTTAATAGAAGTTTGATGTAGTGAACAATATTCAGAGTGGTAAATTAAAATTGTTCATGAATTATTTTAAGCTAGTTAATATAAACAGTATGATTTATTTTTTTTTTGTGAGGAAGATCAGCTCTGAGCTAACATCCATGCCAATCCTCCTCTTTTTTTGTTTTTGTTTTTGTTTTTTTTGCTGAGGAAGACTGGCCCTAGGCTAACATCTGTGCCCATCTTCCTCCACTTTATATGGGATGCCGTCACAGCATGGCCTGACAAGCGGTGCATGGGTGCGAGCCCTGATCTGAACCCAGGCTGCCAGCAGTGGAGCGTGCGCACTTAACCACTACGCCATGGGGCGCGCCCCACAGTATGATTTATTTTTAAATGAATAACATAAATATTACTGTTCCTTGAAATAATCCATATAAAGTAGAAAAGTAGGGCTGGCCCTGTGGCTTAGCGGTTAAGTGCTCGCGCTCCGCTGCTGGTGGCCCGGGTTCGGATCCCGGGCGCGCACCAACGTACCGCTTCTCGGGCCATGCTGAGGCTGAGTCCCACATACAGCAACTAGAAGGATGTGCAACTACAACATACAACTATCTACTGGGACTTTGGGGAAAAAGAAATAAATAAATAAAATTATTTAAAAAAAAAGTAGAAAAGTAAGAACACATCTTTCATTTAAATTTATTCACTGTTTTCTCCAGAATCTCAAGGTGCTTTTAAACTATCAGATAATCATTCTAGAAAGCCAAGCAGTGTTAGTTTTAAATAACTCTCTCCTCATTCCTTTTTTCATAACATTAAATGATCATAATCGTGGGGGAAATAATGTAACCGCTAAAAACGGAATTTGGCGTCCCAGCATTAGCGGTGTAACATGGCTGTAAATCATGCTGTCTAGCTATTGCTAAGAATCTGTTAAACCAGGCATGAAACATTAACCCGCAGGACAGAACACATTGGGATTATTTTTGCCACACTCAATATGGAGGGCAGGTCACACCAGCAATTAGTTCAGCTCCTCAGGCCTGCCTGGCCTGTCCCACCTCAACTCTTTCTGATTGGAAGGGATATTCCACCCTCAAGGTTGTCTGGGCGACTATTGGCCAATCCTCCAATCAGTCATGTGTCATCTCTTTGCTGTTTAGGACAAGTAAACAAACAAGTATTGCTCAAGACAGGAGCAGGAGCTATTCTCAGAAAGGATTCAGTCCGAAGGATTTGGAAACTGACACTCAAAAGACTGCGGTCTTTAGGAATGTCTTGACTGGATCTTCGGAGGTATTGTCGGTAGCAGAGAGAGGCTGCCTCTCCCAAGGAGGCTCTGCCTCTGGTGTATAGCTTCAGAAATCAGCAAACTAGTGCAGGCAGGAAAGCGACCAGGAATCACTCGTATAACCTTCCGTGATTTCTTACATATCATGTAACAACTGATAGAACTGGCTGACGTTCCATAGGTTTTCTGTTTTCTTTTTTGTTTAATTCTAAACAATTTTAAAGGATTGCTGTTTTTCCAGCTTTTGCCCATATATGGGACTGTTAAGGGATGAAACTCTTACTTTAAACTGTGAACCTCTTGTTTACCCTTTTTTTCCCCTTCTTTCCATTCACCTTGACTGTTTCTTCTGAGCAGTGGGTAAGATGCCATTTTTCACATCTGGATCCTGAGACCCAGCATGAGTCAAGTCAACACGGTTTGCTTAAGCCCAAGCAATACTACTTTCAGTGACTTTTGAGGCAACCAATTGAAAAATGCCCTACCCTCTTTCTGTTTATTTTCTTAGATGTTATCATTTCTCACTAACAAGGAGTCCATTATTGTAGTCTCATCATAGTGTTAAAACAAATGATCTCTTCTATCTAGTTTTTCCTCATTTTAGCATGAATGCATCCTCCTTAGTGTTCTTGAAGACAGTACCTGAGGTTTACTGTAAATATTCAATGAGAACGTGATTATCTTTTGACCTTGTTCCCAACACAGACTTAGATGAAAAGAAGTTAATGTTGTCAATTTGCTGTTTTCTTGTTTAACCTGAGGGGTGACTCAAGGGTCACAAGGATTTATGAGCTTGTTTTGCAGAGGAAAAAGAATGCCTTCAAGGAAGTTACAACCACCAGATAACATGCTCCCAGCTGCCATTGATGCCCAGAAGTCTGATTGCCCAAGGGCTTATCTGGAGTGAAAGAAACATGGATTACCCCTTTGTTTCTCTGAAACTCCTCCTGCCAAGCCCCTTAGCTCTATAAAACCCCCTGCTTTCTTCTCTTGTTAAGGTGGATTTCAAAGAACCCATCCTCCCGCCTTCTCCTTTTGGCCAATTTGAATAAACATTTCTCCATCTCCAAGCACCAATGTCTCCATGATTGGCTTACTGCACATTGGGCATGTGAATTTGAGATTAAGAAGTACTGTATCAT